CCTCTCTGTTGTCACCGTGTCCGTGTCCCCCTGTGTCCCTGTGTCTGTGTCTGTATCCCCATGTCCGTGTCGTTGTCCCCGTGTCCATGTCGCTGTCCCCATGTCCCCATGTCCGTGTCGCTGTCCCCATGTCCCCGTGTCTGTGTCACTGTCCCCATGTCCCCGTGTCCGTGTCTCTGTCCCCGTGTCTGTGTCGCTGTCCCCGTGTCTGTGTCACTGTCCCCGTGTCCGTGTCGCTGTCCCTGTGTCCATGTCTCTGTCCCCGTGTCTGTGTCGCTGTCCCCGTGTCTGTGTCACTGTCCCCGTGTCCGTGTCGCTGTCCCCTCTGTCCCCGTGTCCGGTGTCCCCCGGCCCCTCCCTGTGCCCTATTTTCCGCCGTGGCCATGGCAACGCAGGGACCGAGAGGGACACGGGGGGGACACGGCGGGGACAGGGATGGGGACACAGAGGGGACACAGAGGGGACATGGGGACACAGCAGTGACAGAGACGGGGACAGGAGGGGACACAGGGATGGGGACACAGGGATGGGGACACAGGGATGGGGACACGGAGGGGACACAGGGACATGTGAGGGACGGGGATGGGGACGTGGAATGGACGTGGGGACAGGAGGGGACATGGCAGTGACAGGGATGGGGACACAGAGGGGACATGGGGACACAGCAGTGACAGACGGGGACAGGAGGGGACACAGGGATGGGGACAAGGGACACTGAGGAGGACGTGACAGTGACAGAGATGGGGACACGGAGGGGACACCGGAAAGGACCTGGGGACACCGAGAGGGGACACGGGGACACCGAAGGCGTCACCCCGCAGGCGGGGCCCGCCCCTCCCCCCCGCCCCGTGCCCAGTCCCGGCCCGGCCGGTCGGACTGGTTAAACTGGGAGTGGGGGAGGGGCGGGCCGGGCACACCCGGGGGGGGGGGGGCGGGCCGGGCCCCCCGGGGGGGGGGGGGGGGGGGGGCAGCGGGGGGTCCCCCCCGCCCCTCCCCCACCCCCTCCCCCCGTTAATCCGCGGCCGCCGGGGCCCCTTAAGAGGCTTAAAACGGACCCGGGGGGGGGAGGGAGGGGAGGCACCCAAATTCCCGCGCCCCTCCCCCTCCCAAAATTCCCACCCATCCCCCCAACTTCCCTCCACTCGCCCCTCCCCCCTCTTTTTTCCCCGCCCCTTCCGAATTTATTCGGGGGCGGCCCCGCCAGATGTTGGAGGGTCCCGTGGTGACGTCACGATCCAGATGTCGGGGGCGTGTCTTCCCCCTCCCCCCGCTGGAGCCTTCTCCAGATGTTTGGGGTCCCATCACCCCCTCTACAGATGTGGGCGGTCCCCAATTCCAGATGTTCGGGGTCCCCACCCGAATTCCAAGCCAATTCCAGATGTTTGGGGTCCCCACCGGCCCCGCCCCCCCATTCCAGAGGTTCATTTTCCCGCCATTGGCGGACGGCTCCGCCCCCTCCTCCCCGCCATTGGCTGACGCCTCTGATTGGCACCCGCGCCGACCAATCAGCGCCGCTCTTAAAAGAAACCCCCCCCCCCCCAAAATCCCGGGAATATTTTGATGGAAAACCTGAAGATTTTTGGGAACAATCCCATTTTTCACTTTATTTATTCCTCCTCTGCCGGCGCCTGCTGGGGTTTCCTCTGCAGCAGCCTCCGGGCGGGGGATCCCGGCAGGTTCCCGAAAGTTCTGGAAGCTGGGAGAAAAAACCGGGGAGGATCTCGTCATTCCCGCTTTTCCCTCCCCGAAATTCCCGGGATTTCGGGGTTTTTTGCTGACTCACCCAGCTGCTCCGAGAGGTCCTTCAGGTAGTCCCTGCTCTCCTTTTGGAATTCCAGCACCAATTTCGTCGCCTGCAGGGCCTCGTCCACCTGGGAACCCCAAAAAGATTCACCGGGAACGCCCCAAAAATTCCGGAAAATTCCCAGAATCGGGGAATTTGATCCCAAAAAAAACCAAAAAAACCCCCTCACCAGGAGCTGCAGGGATTGCAGGAGCGGGATCTGCCGGGCCAGGATTTCTCCGTAGTCGGGTTTGGAGGCGGGAATTTGGGAATTGGGAATTTTGGGAGGGGGCCAGGGGGGGTTCCCGGCTCGGAGCTGCTCCAGGTTCCTGCGGGGGGAAATTCGGGATTGGGAAATTTGGGATTGGAGGGAGGAAATTTGGGATTGGAGGTGGGAAATTTGGAGATTTTTGGGATGGGAAATTTGGGATTGGAGGGGGGAAATTTGGGATTTTTGGGATTGGAGGTGGGAAATTTGGGGATTTTTGGGATTGGGGATGGGAAATTTGGGATTGGAGGGGGGAAATTTGGGATTTTTGGGATTGGAGGTGGGAAATTTGGGATTTTTGGGATTGGGGATGGGAAATTTGGGGATTTTTGGGATGGGAAATTTGGGATTGGAGGTGGAAAATTTGGGATTTTTGGGATTGGAGGTGGGAATTTGGAATATTTGGGATTGGAGATGGGAAATTTGGGATATTTGGGATTGGAGGTGGGAAATTTGGGATTTTTGGGATTAGAGGTGGGAAATTTGGGGATCTTTGGGATTGGAGGTGGGAAATTTGGGATTGGAGGTGGGAATTTGGGATATTTGGGGATTTTTGGGATTGGGGATGGGAGATTTGGGGATTTTTGGGAGGTTCCTCACCTGGAGGCCTCCTGGGATCGCTGCTGGTGCTGATCCAGGAGCTGATCCCAGGCCTGGAGCTCCCCGGAGACGCTGAGAGGGACAGGTGAGGGCCAGGTGAGGGCCAGGTGAGGGCCAGGTGTCCCCAGGTGTGTCTCAGGTGTGTCCCAATGTCCCCAGGTGTGTCCCAGGTGTCCCTTCCCCACTCCAGGTGTGTCTCAGGTGTCCCCAAATGTCCCCCAGGTGTCCTCAGGTGTGTCCCAGATGTTCCCCAGGTGTGTCCCAATGTCCCCCAGGTGTGTCTTGATCCCCCAGGTGTGTCCCAGATGTTCCCCAGGTGTGTCCCAATGTCGCCAGGTGTGTCTCAGGTGTCCCCAGGCTCATCCCAGATGTCCCCAGGTGTGTCCCAGATGTCCCCAGGTGTGTCTCAAGTGTCCCCAACTGTGTCCCAAATGTCCCCCAGGTGTCCCCAGGTGTGTCTTGATCCCCCCAGGTGTGTCCCAGGTGTCCCCAGGTGTGTCCCAGGTGTCCCCACCTGGCTATGCGCTCCTTCATCTGCGCCACGGACACCTCCGTGGCCGGATCCAGGGAATCCCTGCGGAAAAGGACCCAAAAAATTCCAAAAGAATTCCCAAATTTCGGGGCAAATCCAGAGAAACTTCCCAAAATTCCCAAATTTCGGGGCAAATCCAGAGAAACTTCCCAAAATTCCCAAATTTCGGGGCAAATCCAGCCAAAATTCCCAACATTCCCACAGGAAAAGCTCCTGGATTGCCTCAAAAACCAGCCACAAATTCCCAATTTTTTTTTTTTTTTTTTTTTTTGGGGATTTCCGTGGATTTTGGCCCCTCCCAGCCTGGAAATTCCCAAATTTCGGGGATTTTGCCCCAAATCCTGACCCCGGGGGTGGCTCCACGCAATCCTCAAGGGTCCCATCCAGGAGCAGCCTCTGGAGCAGCCGCCGGAATTCCTCAGTTTTTATCTGGACTGGGGGGAAAAAACGGGATTAGAACCCCCCCTGTAATTAATGGTTTGCTAATAATTAATTAGCTGTTGATTAATTTTGTGGGATTTAGGGATTTACGTTCGTTTTCCTGATGGTTTTGGGCGAATTCCTGAATTTTTTAGGAATCTGGAGGAGCCAGGAATCCCTCAGGGCTTTTTTTTTTTGCTCCTCCCCTAATTAATTACTGATTAGCTATCAATTAATTGTTTATTAATTATGAATGAATTCCGCTTTTTCTCTTTTTTTTTTTGGCCGAAATTCCCAAATTTCTTGGGAATCAGGAAGCTGCTCTGACCCTCCCCCAATTAACCATCACCTAATGATTAATTAACTCTTAGTTATTATTAATTAATTCAATTATTTTCTCATTTTTCTCAGGGAATTTAAGGATCAACCATTTATGGTCATTTCCCGCCTTTTTTTTTTACCCAAACTCCCGAATTTTTTTGGGAATTGGGAGCATCCAGGAATCCCTCAGGACCATTTTTGACCCCCCCAAAATTAATTATCAATTAATTCCTAATTAATTCCATTGCTTCTTCCCCAAATTCCCAACTTTTTGAGGTCCCCCCACCCCTTTGTGAGGTTGGAAATTTGGGATTTGGAGGGGGAAAAAATCCCAAATTTTGGGAATTTTGGATGCCCCCAATCCCCACCTCTGGCAGCGAAAGCCTCGGGGTCGAATCCTTCGGATTTTTCCAGATCCTTCTGCAACTTCTGGGCAGAAAACTGAGGGAAAAACGGGGAAAAATCCGATAAAAATGGGAAAAATCGTCTGTAATCCCCAATTTCTGGGGAATAAAACAAAGATTTGGGAAGAAAAAGGAGCCCAAATTCACTTTTTTTTTTGTGTTTGAGGGGTCAGGGAAAGGAATGCAAGGAATTTTGTGGGGGGGGGGAAGATTCCAGGATTTTGGTAAATTCCAGGATTTTTTGAGTTAATTCCATGATTTTGGTGAATTTTATGATTTTTCAGGTGCTGCTCCAGCCCTTAAAAGTGCCCCAAAAATTCCAGGATTTGGGTTCATTGCAGGATTTGGGGTAAATTTAAGATTTTTAGGAGCTGCTCCTTCTGTGGAAGGACTAAAAATTCCCAGGATTTTGGGTGAATTCCAGGATTTTGGGTGAATTTACCTTGAAGCTGGAAAGGAGGAGGAGGAAGAGACGTTGGACTTCGGGAAGCTCCAGGCTGATGGATTGGCTCAAGTCTGGACAAAAAAACCCCGTGAAATTCAGAAAAAAAACAGCTGGAATTTGACCCAGAATTCCCCCAAAAAGCAGCAGTGGGAAAAGCAGGAAAAAAAGGTGGGAAAAATCAAATTGAAGGAGAGAAACGGGGGAAAGGAGGAGAAAAAAATTGAATTTAAGGGGAGAAATAGAGAGGAGAAGTCACATTTAAGGGTAAAAAATGGGGAAAACTGGGAAAAATGAAGGGGAAAAGTCACATTTAAGGATGAAGAGGGGAAAATGGGAAGAAGAAAGAGGAGAAGCCACAATTAAGGTGAAAAATGGGTTAAAAGAAGAACCAAAAACGAAGGAAAAAAAGAGAAAACTCCAAAATCCTCAGGGGACAGAAGGCTCAGCGCAGCACCTCCCGCAATCCTCACTCCCAAAAACTATTCTAATTAAAAATCACGCTAATTAAGCGCTAATTAAGCCTGGAAATACGAACCAGTGACGTCCTGCTGGACAGGGGGCAGCGATTTGCGGCGGGATCGCCTCCGCTCGAGGTCGGAGCGGTGCCAGAAGCGGAGTTTGTCCTGAGGGGCGGCGGCGATCGGTGACAAACTGGAGGAATTCAGCAATTCGGGGCTGCTCTCGGCTCTTCTCTTCCTGCTGGAAGGGCTCAGCTTTTTCTCTTGCCTGGGAAGCTTCGAAATCGCCTCAGGATCCGCTGCCGAGTGCGGATCTGAGGGGAAAAGAGGCGAAATCAGCGCTTTTAAAAAGGGGAAAGTGACGCGGTGATGCCCGGGCTGCGCTTCCCACTCGGGATTTCTCGGTTTTATGAGGGGAAATGTTATTTTTTTTTCAAGGATTTCGGAGCGCTGAAGGCGGTTTTTATGGTTTTATTTTTAACCGGGCGGACCAGGAGCGCTGCGGGGACCTGAGGGGGATCCCCACCTCCCAAACCTCAAATCCTCCCTAAATCCCAACCAACTCCTCCCTAAATCGAAAGCAGCGGTTTCTTTCCCTGCCCTTACCTGGCGCGGCCCCTCCGCTCTCAGGGCTGGGTCCGCCGGGGCATCGCTGAGGGGAAAAAACCTTAAAAGGCTGGAAGCGCGGTCGCCCCGCGGCTCCCCCTGCCGGGCCGGGCTCCTCCAGCTCTCACCTCGCCCTCCTGTGGCCCGGCCGAGCCCCGTGAGGACGAAACAGCGGCCGGACCGGCGGAGCCGCCGGGTTCCGCCGCTACCTCCGCCATTGCGGTTTCCCGCCGCCCGCCTGCCCTCAGCGACTTGCGCATGCGCAGAGCCCTCTCCGGCTTCGCCGCCATCACAGCGCAGGCGCGAGGCGGCTCCTGCCCTCACGACGCTTCGCGCCCTTTTTCGCCCCTCACGATCTTCCCGCCCTTTTTCGCCCCTCACGACGTTCCCGCCCTTTTCCGACCCCTCACGAACCTCGGCCGCCTCCCGCCCGCGGAGAGAGGGGAAAAAAATCAGAAAAAAGGCAAAAAAGAAAAAAAGGCTTTGGAAGTTTATTTTCTTTGATAAAATCTCAACTGAAAGGGGCGGACACTGAAAAGCGCCAGAATGGCAAAAACCCCCTCGAATTCCCATGGGGAAATCCGGTGGTTCGGCTGTTTTGTGGTGAATTTGAGGGATTTTATTATTTTTATTTTTTTTTTTTTACTTTTTCATGAGAAAAAGTAGAGCCGTGGAATTTAAGAAATCCCTTGGAACGACACCGGCAGAAGGTCCTACCTGCGAGCGATATCCAGTGGGAAGTTTGGTAAAGCAACGTTCTCGTTAATTAGCTAAACTAGTTAAGAAAAAGCTGAATTCCCTATAGAAAATTACAATACAGAGAACATACAATTACAATACGGGGAGGAGGCTTGAACTGGAACTATTCACCTAGAACAGAAAATCCCAGCGTAAAAAAAACCGGTCGGAAACGAAAATAAATCCGTTTTCTTCCGCTGTAAAACTGGAGACGAACGCCGAGACTTTTTATTTTCTTCGTGTGGAAATCAGTGGAGTTTTTCCTTAAAAAAAAGCGGAATTTGCTGAGGCGAAATGAAGTTGTCAGAAACAATTTCAGGTCCCCGGCAGGGCGAAGAAGTCGGTGAGAGGTAGAGGTGTCGCTGCCATCGCAATCTATTGGCTTGTTCTGAGGTAATTCATTAATTGTGAGTCAATAATTCTTGCAACGTCGGTTAATTAACGCTAATTGACCTCTCTCCTCTCGTTAAAAAGGTCCTAAAAAAATTTTTTTAATTGGAGGCGTCGGAGTTGACGCTTCCCGGGTCTCCGGTGGGGGAGGTGATGGATGAGGGGGTGGCAGCGTCCTGCCAGCTGCCATTGGCCTGTGGGGACATTAAAATGCAATTAATTAGTTTTTATTGTCATTAAATCGACAAGAAATTACCTGTAGGTGATGTTTGTGTGTTTGGAAGTGAGGGTGGTTTGAAAAGGAAAGTGCGCAGGCTGTGGATATCCCCAAAAAAAACCCTTCTTCTCGCTTGTTTTTATATTTATTGTCCCAAAAAAACTTCCTTTTTCCTTTATTTGTATCTTTACAATTTATAAATCTCAGTGTCAATTTATAGATATCCCAAAAAAACCTTCTTCTCTTGTTTTTATATTTATTGTCCCAAAAAACCTTCCTTTTTCCATTATTTTCATAGTTACAATTTCAATGTTACTTTATAGATATTCCAAAAAAACTTCCTTTTTCCTTATTTGCATATTTATAATTTGTAAATTTCAATGTTAATTTATAGATATCCCCGAAAACCTCCCTTTTCCCCTTATTTATATTTTTATAATTTATAAATTTCAATGTCAATTTATACATTTTGATTTAACCTAGAATATTAACTTACAATGCAAAACGTTTAATTAATTAGAGTATTAATTTACAATGTAAAATTAATTTAATTTAGAATATATTTTATAACGTAATCCACTAATTTATAATGTAAAATTACTATAATTAAAACAGTATTTTAAAAAATATTAAGTATGTGTTTGTAATTTATACATTTAAATATCAACGTAGAGGATAACGTAGTTTTTAATTAGTATATTATGATATATATATTTTATTATTACATTATTATTAAAGTTATTTATAAGATAGAATATATTTAAAACCATGTTAAATATGATTAAATATGAATATATTTAAAACCATGTTAAATATGATTAAATATTTAAAAGTTGATCAATTAAATGCCATTTTTCCAACTTCTTTGCTTATCCCAACATCGGCTTTGCTGGGGGAAATAATAAAAGTAAATGAAAAATAAATGAAAAGTAAATGAAAAATAAATGAAAAATAAATGAAAAATAAATGAAAAATAAATGAAAAATAAAATTAAAATAAAAGAAAAATAAAATTAAAATAAAATAAAAAATTAAAATAAAATTAAAATAAAAGAAAAATTGAAATGAAAATTAAAAAATAAGATTTATTGATGAGATTTAGGAATTAAATCCCAATTTACATCGAGGCGCTGCGTGGAGTACAAAGGCTCGAACCTCCCCGTCTGGTGCAGGACGTGGTGCAGGGAATCCATCTGCAAAATCCCGGGAAAACGGGGCAAAAAGAGGGAAAAAAAGTTAAAAAAAAAACAAGTTGGAATTCCTAAAACAGGAATTTTCCACTTTAATAAAAAATTGAAGGAACCGGAGCGAAGGTTTGAGATTAATTAATGTGGAATTCGGGATTTTTTTGGGAATTGGAGAAATCCCAGCGGGAATTCCTGGATTTGAGGGATAAGGATTTCGATGGGAATTTGGGGTGGGAATTCTTTCAGGGGGAATTTCATCGTGAATTTCAATATTTAATGAAGAATTTCACTCCTAACTCCAACGAGAATTTCAGATTTTTTTTCCCCATAAAAACCAGGAATTTAAACTTGAAATAACCGTTCAAATTGGAATAAAAAAATGGGAATGAGTGGATTCCTCCGGGATCCAGGGCAGAAATCTGGGATCTTTTCCCGTTTTTCCTGGTTTTCCTCACTGACCTGGGAGTGCACATTGGGAGGGCTCTGGTAGGAAGTCAAGGATTGAAGGTTGAGGAAGGAATCCCCGGAATTTGTCATCTTAAAAGACCCAGAAGAAGCTGGAAAAATAAAAAAAATATTCAAAAAATGGAGTTTATGAAGGAATTTTTGTGAGGGATAAATGCAGCCAAAATGTTTTTTTCAGGGGAGATGAAAAGGGGAATAAAAGGGAATAAAAATAGGAATAAAATGGAAATAAAAGGGATTTAGAAAGGGAATAAAAGGGGATAAAAAAGAGGAATAAAATGGGATAAAAAAGAGGAATAAAATGGAAATAAAAGGGATTTAGAAAGGGAATAAAATGGGATAAAAAGGGGAATAAAATGGAAATAAAAGGGATTTTGAAAGGGAATAAAATGGAATAAGAAAGGGAATAAAAGGGATTTAGCAAAGGAATGAAATGTAATAAAAGAAAATAAATGGGAATTAAAATGAATGGCTAGAAAAGTAGATAAAAGGAAATAAAAGAAAAACTAAATAAATTAATTAAATATAAAGCAAATAAAGCAAAATGAAATAAATGGAAATAGACATTAAAAGGAAATTAAAGAAATGAAGTGAAATATGATTAAATATGAAGGAAATAAATTGAAATAAGGAGAAATAAATGGGCATTGAAAGGAAATCAAATAAAATTAAATTGAATATAAAAGAAAAAAATGGAAATAAACAGAAATAAACAGAAATAAAGAGAAATAAATAGAAATAAAACAAAAATAAATGGAATTAAACAGCTATAAAGAAAAATAAACAGAAAAAAAGGAGAAAGAAACCCCCAACAACGTTTCCAACAACCAGAACAGCGGGAGACGAGCGATCCCGAGGAATATTTGGGATTTTCCCAACGTTTCTCACCGGAATTTGGCGAGGAAGCGGCGGCGGCGTCCGCGGCGCTTTTGGCGGCGTAAATATTCGCCTCCTCCTGGAACTTCCCCATGTTCTTCTTGTAGCGGATCCTCTTGTTCCCAAACCAGTTGGAAACCTGGGAAACAGCCAAAAAAAAAAAATTCGGGAAAAAATTCCGGTCGGAGCGAGCCGTTCCCCAAAATATTTGGAATTTTTTTCCGGGGTTAAAACGCGGGGTTTTGGGTTTTTGGTTTTTTTTTTTTTTTTTGCCCGCGATATTTGGAATTTTCCCGCCTCAAAGTGGAGGGAAAAAATTCCAGTTTTTTCCCCCCTTGGAATGTTCCGGCAGGAAAAAGGGTTTAGGTTGGAATTTCAGGGAGGATTTTGGAATTTCACTGATCATTTCACAAGGAATTCCCGTGAGAATTCCAGAATTTCACTGATCATTTCACAAGGAATTCCAGCGAGAATTCCAGAATTTCACTGATCATTTCAGTGAGAATTCCAGGATTTCACTGATCATTTCAGCGAGAATTCCAGAATTTCACTGATCATTTCACAGGGAATTTCAGCGAGAATTCCAGAATTTCCAACAGGAATTCCAGTGAGAATTTAACTTGGAATTTCAGCAGGAATCCCATAAGAATTTCCAACAAGAATTCCTAAATTTCTAATTAATTAGAAATTTAATTTCTAATTTCTAATTAGAAATTCCTCCCGATTTTCACCGACAATCCCAACAGGAATAGAAACTAAAAATCCCCTCTTTTAGAAAACCCCAAATTTTTATTAAAAGGGTGAAAATTTGCCCAAAATCCCGGGAATTTTTCCCACCTGGGACACGGTGATTCCGCCTTTTTTGGCGAGTTCCTCTTTGGCCTCTTCGCTGGGGTAGGGATTGCTCAGGTGGGAATAAAAATATTCATTCAGCACCTCCGTGGCCTGTTTGCTGAAATTGCGCCTTTTCCGCCTAAAAACGGGGAGAAAATGGGATTATTTGGAATTAAATGGGGTTTTGGAGGCACTAAATTAATTTGTTAATTGATATTCAGTTGATTGGGAAATGAGTTTTTAATTTGAAATTAATTGAGTTGGTGGTAAAGGGAATTTTAAATGGGTGGTGTTTGGATTGGTAATTAAGTTTATAATGGTAAATGAAATGTTTTATATATTTTCTATGTAATTTATATATTTTTAATATATATACCATGTATATTTTAAAATATATTTTATATATTACATAATTCTACACAACTTAATTTTATAATTATACAATTATACATAATTTAGTTGTATAATTATATATAATTATATTTTTATATGATCACACATCATAATATTATTATATATACAGTTATATACTTATATAATTACATATAATTGTATAATTAAATATACAATTATTTAAATTAAATAAAATTAATATTAAATGTAATAGCATTACTCATGTCAGAACCACAACTATTTAATATGTAAATATTCAATAAGTTAATACTACACCAACCAAAAATACCCAGATTTTTCCACCAAAACCCACGTTCCAACCGAAAATATCCACGTTTTTCCACCAAAACCCATATTCCAACCAGAAAAATTTGTTTTCCCCGCAGATATTGACATTTTCCCACCAAATACTCAGATTTTTCCACCAAATATTGACATTTTCCCACTGAATATTGACATTTTCCCACCGAAAATTCAGATTTTTCCCCCAAAAATTCAGATTTTTCCACCAAACATGGAGATTTTTCCTCCAAATATTGACATTTTCCCACCCAATACCCATATTTTTCCACCGGAAATTCAGATTTTTCACCAAAAATCGACATTTTCCCACCCAACACTGGGTTTTTTTGGGATTTCTGTCCCACCTGGCGTCGAGGAACCTGGACCTGAGGATCATGACGGCCTCGCAGGTGCTCTGCTTGAGCTGCACCTGGATGGAGCCGAACTTGCCGTGGATGACGCCCACCCAAAAATATCCAGGTTTTACCACCAAAACCCACATTCCAACCCAAAAAAACCCAAATATCCATGTTTTCCATCAAATAGCCAGATTTCTCTAGCAAA